AATTAATGATAATTAATTATTAATACAAATAATTAATAATTAATAAAAAACATGAATACAAATTTATAAAAAATAATCATCAATTAATAATAATAACTAGTAATTAATAAAAACAAATAAAAATTAATAAAATTAATTAATAACTAATAAAGTGCATTTTCACATTTAACCACACCCTGACAACCCATTCAAGTGCATTTTCACAATTTGTTGCCAAAAGAAAACTCAACCACCCTAAAATGCTACAAAAAGAATTACAAAAATAGAGGAAAAAAATCAGCAAAGACAATTAGGTCCTTCAATTTTGAATAAGACCACCAAATTATCTCCTTCAACCTTTAAAAGTTAAACAGATCCTCTACATCATAGCTCTTGAAACCACCAATACTAGTTCCTTTTCAAAAAAAGAAAAAATATAAGCAAATTAACCATAAACAAATAGAACAAATTAAACATAAACGAACCAAATGAATATATTATTATCAACATATCAAAATATTTAAACATAAAAATATCAAAATAAAGAAGAAGATACCTTTCGTCATTTGAAGAATAATAAGAAGAAAAAGATGATACATTCGCCACTCGTTAACCATTGACTAAGCACCCTGCGCAATAATGATCCTAAAAAATGAAGAATATAGGGAAATTAGATGTGTGCAAACGAAGAATAAGAAAGTGAGATAAGAGAAAAGACTTGCGGCCATGAAAACATACCTGGAGCAATCTGAAGCAAAACTCTTCTTTCCCGTCTAGAAAACACATATGTCTTAGGTTTTTTTGTTTGGGGTTAAATAGGGGCAAAACTGCATCATTTCGAAAATATTGGGGAGGGGGTATTTTCGACCTTATACTAACTCTAAAAATGCGTCTAAGCGTGTCAAGAGCTAGTCCGTGCACTTTCGATTTCAAATCTAAAAACAAAATTCATATCGGTTTTCAAAAGCAACACCAAACGGGTCTGGTGTCTGAAAACACTAGACCTCTAAAAAGTGTTATCAAATGCCCCTAAGTTAGAAATTTCAAGGTTTGGGAGAATTCGAGCTCTGGTGACTTAGTGAGTAAGCTGGGCATTGAAACCTCACCTGTGGGCCTAGGGCTATAAGCATATTAGATTTAGCAAAATCGGAGTTTGATTTGAAATTGATCAGACATGTGACAAATGCATTCGAATTCACATTTGTCGAATTGTCAGATTAATCCAACTCCAATTAATGGTTACGAACTTAGGGGTATTCTACAATGTGAATTGTAGACTTTTTTTATAGGGTATATAATTGTATTGGGATTAACTAAACGTGATAGCCGCTTAGGGCGTTATGAAACCAAACATAACAATAAAGTAATGGGTCTCGATGTGAGAGGTGTGGGTCCCATCTATTTATTATTGTCATGGAGAGATATCATTTGTTTCACAACTTGGTGAATAGCTATAGTGTTTAGACTATCATTTCTCATATGATGACAACTTATGGCATTTGACACCCGAATCAAACAGAGATATGTCTCAAAGAAGAAGCTTAAGCCACACCATTGCAAAAGTCATTCAAAAATAAAGTCGGTTGTTCACTGTGCACAAAGTAAAAAAAAATCCATAAATAAAAAAGAAGAGATAATAATAATAATAATAACAACAACAACAACAACAACAACAACATAAGTAATAAAAATAAAAGTGCAAAATGTGGTAAAAATGTGGAGAATTTATTCCCAACAAAGAGAATGATCAAGTGAGAAATGACAAGTAATCTAAATTAGACTTGTTGATGATAATAATTATTGAGTTTTTATTTTTTATTTTTTGCATTCATTACAACTGGCGTATTATTGGCTTTTTTGAATTTTTAGTATTGCCATAATTTCACCAGTTTTGTGATCTTGTGTTAATTTAATGTCTTCTTTCTTGTGCAATACATTTCAAATCTTGGGTTTAATCATAATGATTACATTATTCTCATCATGAATCGTAGTTTTTAATTACATCAACGACTTTGTTGTTTAATCGGGTCATTAGTTTTTTTCCGCTATTGCATATTATAGCGCATAAACCTATTCGCGTTATTGTACATTAATTTTTTTGCTTTATAGCACATAAGTTTATTTGCGCTGTTGCACATAATTTTTTCTGCTCTTTAGCACAAGTTTATCTGCTCGCACATGGTTTTTCTGCCTTTAGCACATCCTGAATAAGAATTTTTCGCTCTTTAGCACATGAGTTTATCCGCGTTATTGCACATGAATTTTCTTTTTCACTATTACATATGAGTTTTTTTCGCTCTCTAGCACATGAGTTTTTCAACTCTATTGCATATGAGTTTTTCCCACTTTATAGCATATGAGTTTTTCTGTTGCACAACACATGGATATTCTGCCTTTTGGCACATTAGACATCAGAATTTTTCTGCTGCGTAAGACATAAATTTTTTATCATCTAGCACATCATAAATCGGGTTTTCTGCTAAGAATTTTCCACTATCTAGCACATAAGTTTATCCGCGCTATTGCACATTAGTTTTCTTTTCTGTTATTGCACATTAGTTTTCTTTTCTATTATTGCACGAGTTTTTTTCGCTCTCTAGCGCGCGAGTTTATTTGCGCTATTGCACATGAATTTTATTTTCTGCTATTACACATGAGTTTTTTTAGCTCTCTAGCATGTGAGTTTATCCGCTCTATTGCATATGAGTTTTTCCCGCTTTATAGCGCACGAGTTTTTCTGTTGTACAGCACATTAATATTTTGCCCTTCGGCACATCAGAAATCAGAGTTTTCCAATTTTTCGTCATCTGGCATATCGTAAATCAGATTTTTCTGTTGCATAGCGCATAGATTCTCCGCCATATGACATGTCATGAATCAGATTTTTCGTTGTATATCACATGATTTTCCACAACTTTGGCACATCACAAATTGGTTTACATAACACAAATTTTATGTTGTCTAGCACATTGTAAATCAAATTTTCCACTGTGTATCACATAGATTTTCCGTCACTTTGGCACATCACAAGTCAGTATTTTCTGCCATTTGGTACATCGTAAATCAGATTTTCCATTGCATAACACAATTTTTTTGCCATCTAGCGCATCGTAATCAAAATTTTCTACTACATAACACAGATTTTCCGCCACTCTGGCACATCGTAAATTTTAATCAAGGCTTTATCGTTGCTTTCATCACTGCATGGTACATTATTGTTTTCAATTTTATGCCTTTCTCACCTCACTGCGAATAGCTGACCTCACTCCACAAGATCATCCCATACTTGCTAGAAAGTTCACTATTGACAAAGTTAAACAAACTTTATACTTTGAGTTGTTCTTATCGTTGTTTTCAATTTGTTTTTAATGCTTTTCTTTACAACAAATGTACCCTGATTCCAAGGGTTCTCGATACAAAATATGTCACTTTGCCAATGATAAAATGGCTTGAACATGATAGAATGGTGTTGCATGGAAATTCCTCTCATTCGCTTTAATCCTCCTCCCTCATCTCATTCTTTTGGTCTTTGTTGTTTTGTAGTCTTCTACTTTACAACAAAGACGGGTAGTTGTTAGCACCCGATTTTTGCTTGGTCCATTGTTTGAACGCCAATTCACCCCAAATTCTTGATCAAACCCTTCCAACCTCTCCGAAACACCTAAAAGCCACAAAACCCAACTTCCAACCCTTAATCCACCGTTAAATATACCGATTTGATGGCCCCAATTGACCCCCATTTACACCTCAAACCATTAGGTCAGACACAATCATCAGGCTCAATACCATATAGAACATATGCCCAAAAAATTTAAACCCCAAATCCCTTCCATTTACCCTCTTAATAAACAAAGATTTCATTTCGACTCATATCGTAGACCTAAAGCACCCACAACACATATCCACTTGATCCAAACACATCTAAACCAATCAAATCCTGACAATCACCACAGAATGCCAAAAGACCCCTACATATGAATTTTTAGCTCAAAATTCATTCATTTACTCTCTCATAAATTGAAGATTCCATTTCGATGCCTATCGTCAACATAAAACACCCGCAACCCGGATCTCCTTCATTTTAACACATCTGAGTCAATCGGACCACACCATTAAAGTCCAAACACACCAAAACACATGCCTACAAAATTTCAACCCCAGATTCCCCCATTTGCCATTTCATTAAACCAAGATTTCGTTATAGAACATCCTATTGACCTAAATTTTTACAATCTTGACCCTCCAAGACTAAGACTTTACTAATCACCTCAAATTACCCAAAAAACCTATGCTGTGTAATTTCACCCAAAATTGCCCTTGTTTGCCTTGCGATCACACCTAGATTCCATTTCAAGGCTCTAGATTGACTAGATTCTGTGCCCTTCCGATCCAAGCCTAGTTGGCTAAATCAAACTTTACTAATCACCTCAAACTACCCAAAAACTCTACCATGTGAAATTTCACCTAGAACTGTCCTTGTTTGCCCATCCATCACACCTAAATTCCATTTCAAGGCTCTAGATGGATCGGATTCTAAGCCCTTTTGATCCAGGCCTAGTTGGCCTAATCAAACTTTACCAGTCACCTCAGACTATCCAAAAACCCTTCCCTGTGGAATTTCACCCAAATATGCCCTTGTTTGTCCCTCAATCACACAAAGATTTTGTTTCTAAGCTCTAGATTGGTCGAACAATGCCCCTTTTAGATCTACCCAATCCAGATTTAATTGGGCCAATCCAACCCTTCCAGTCAACTTACCAATTTTCAATAAAAAATCCCCCATTTATCCATTAGAAAGATTTCATTTTGGCCGATCTCATTGGCCTGCATATGCAAGATCCTTCTCTGCACTCTACCTATCTCAATCATTTCCATTTTGGCCCAAAAATTTCGGCCGTCAAGCCAAGACCGCCGGTTTAACCTCCTTAGACCCGGCTGGTCCAATTTGACCCGGACCGCAAATTGCCAAAAACCACCCCTCCCCCTCAGAATCCAAAAAACACAGCTCTTATTTGTTATTTTATTCGAATGGGAGAGGAGAGAGGGGACTGTTCACTGTCTCTTACATTCGGACCAGCAGGTAGCGGCGGACAAGGCCTCCCATTCTCAGGTTTCCTTCGATTCCTTCCTTTTATTTAATATTTACTTCTCCCTCCTCTTCCCCTTCATCTCCCTTTCCGTCCGTAGCTCCTCTGTTCATTCTCCCCGCCGGTTAGAGAGGAGAAGTTGCAGTACCGGCGCATCTGGTCTGACCTCGCCAAGTCTGGAAAATAATCGCCCTCACCCTGGACGATATTCACAATTGAAGTCTCCTATCTAAACCGGCTCTCATAGACCGTTCTTCAACCTCATTTCCACACTGAAACGGACTGAGATTCCCCTGCATCATCAACCGAGTGCCGACCAGACATTCGAACAAGGTAAAACTCGCACATAATTTTTTTTCTCTACTTTCTTCTGTGATGATCCAACTCTCGTTGCTGGGTATGCTTACTTCTGAAGCGAGGTCGAGCTCCCGTATATCCGATGTTCACCCAAGGCCGATGTAGCCTGCTCCAGAAATCTCAGTAGTTGCGTGGAAATTTTAATTGAGAGAAGCCTGTTAAATTCTTGAGGATATTTTATCATTTAGATTCCCGCATAGCAATAGCAATACCACCAGCCTTCTGATGAGGGAGGGAGGGAGAGGGAGGGAGAGGGAGAGGGAGAGAGAGAGGGAGGGAGGAGAGAGAGAGAGGGAGGAGAGAGAGAGAGAGATTAAAAAATAATTACCTGAACTTTTTTGATCAGTAAAACAATTAGCATACTTAGTCCACAAAGAAAAGGGAAAGAAAAAAAGAAGAGTTTGAGGTATAATTGGACAGGAAAAATTGAGAAAAAGCAGAAGGCAAGAAAGAATCCAAGTTTTGCCTCCAATTGTCTGCTTCTACAGCCACTCAGAAACTGCAGAATCATAAGAAGCAACATGCTGGAAAGCCTTCCAAGCAAGTTTCCCGCGGAATTGCTGGTCATCTTGGTTTCCTTTCAGAATTCCAAAAGTGCAGGATAGTCACTTGAGTCAACAACCACCAAAATATCCTTGTGATTCTGTTGAAAATAAATAGAACATAAAATATGAATGTTACTAAAGGAAGCATTATTTTTTTTTAAATGTTTTCGTTATATTTCCTTGACAAACAAAGCACATTAAATAATTGACATCAAATACTAGGAGGATAGTATAGACTACATAGTATAAATATGTACAATCCATTTTGCAGATGGTTGAACTCATTAACATGGATTCCATCTTGATGAGCTTCAACTAGGAGATCTTGCTCCAAAATCATCCTGATAGAATAACTTTCTGGAAATTACAGTCCAGGAATTCCTACTTGTAAAATGGACCATTGAGTTTTGTATATTTTGGTTTAGGAGTGGGTGATTTGTCAGTCGTAGAGCATATATGTTGTGCCTATTGGAAAATTACCAGACATTAACTTACCTCTCCAATATAATGTCATTATTGTGTCTCAGAAAACAAACTTTGCAGTGGCTCTGATCATGCCAGGGCCACCGATGTCGATGCTTTCTATTCCATCCTCAAATGATATTCCACTAGCAGTAGAAACCTTGTCATAAAAAGGACACAGGTTGTCAGGTTCACCACCACTATATCAAATATCCCTGCAAGCTAAACAGTGTCAACATCAAAATTGGTAAACTGACATGCACTTATATACTAGATCCAATCTACCAAGAAAAAGAATTAAAGGACATTGACATGTTTCTTTGCAAGCCTTTATAGATAGGCCCAATATGCAGAGAGTACTAAAACTAGAACTCACCAATCCCATGCCCATTTAGAGCTTCCATGTGATGCTTTTGGTCTCTTCTAGCAAGAATATCCCCATGAATATTAGGATGTAAAGTTTTTACATGACCATCCAATTGTAAAACATAAAAAAAATTGTAGAGTTCACTAACAACATTTTGATATAAAAAATTAACAAAGAATTATATGATAGAATAAAAGAATATAGGACTAAAGGAACAATTTGTATCCTTCGGGGCATGTCGTATCGGCATTGTGATGATCCTCATCCGGTTCCTTGCGAAGCAGATAGAACCGGGCTTATCACAGTTAGGTGGGCAACATGTTACCATGTTCTCTTTTTTTGGATCAATAACCGCAGATTTCATTAAATGGTAGTAAACTTACAAAAAATAGGAGCTAAGGTATCTTAACTCCCCTGAAGTTGGGAATGCACCCAAACTAATAAAAACAACAATTACAATTGAGCCCAGAACCCAAAAACCCTATTAACCCCTTGCCTAGCTAATCCATCAGCAAAGGAATTGGCGTTTCTCTTTACCCAAGTACATTGAACTTCCATATTCTTGATCAGCCATTTGAACTTTCTCTTTTCATCACTGTAGCTCCACATCTTAGAGGTGTCTTCTTTTAGCTAGTCCACTACAATCACAAAATCTCCCTCTATAATCAATTTCTTGACATTAAGGTCTTTGGCCCTTTGTACCCCTTCCAAAGCTGCTAACACCTCAGCCCTCAAAGAGTCTCCCACTCCAATTGGGCCAGAGAACATAGCTATTACATTGTTACCATGTTCTTAGGGACCAATAGTTGAGGTGAGTGGATGAGGTTGAACACGTCACATAGGTCGGTACCCCAGAGGTCGGCTAGTCATGCAGGTTGACAGTTTCCTGGGTTGGGAGAGACAGGTCTGTTGCTGGAGTCATCAACTTATGCCTTCAAGGTGATGTGCTCCAGTCTGTTGTCGAGCGGTCTGTAGGTCTCCCATTGGTTGAGGTCTGATTCGTAGAGGGTGGCTTAGGCTGGCCAAGTAGGATGAGGTCCAACGACATGTGGCACCGAAGTGTCATAAAGCGGTTCGGACTTGCCACGTAGCATGGTATAATCGGAAGGCCAAATCATCCCTCATCAGGAACCACTCTTGCCACCATTTTCTAGGTCAATAGTTCAACTGTTTGCATCAAACAATTTGACCCGTAGCCATAAGGCCCTGTTTGATTTCACTTGTAATAAGTACTTAAAATAAGTGTCAGGACCACACATTAGGTGGAAAGTAAGCACTTGCCCATGTTTGGTAAAAAAGTAATGAAAAGTGCTTATTAAGAAAGCAACTTCAAAGTGGCTTTTTTTAAGCACTTCTTAAATAAGTGAATGGTCGAACTTTTTGGGACGGTTCAATCCCTGATATTTTTTAAAATTCCCAAAATTTCTCCATGTGTTCTCAAAATATCATCTTCCTCATTTGACCAAACCTGAGCATACCAGTGGTGGAACCTGTACTTTGAGCGAGCAGCAACCACCGAACCACCTACGAACTCACTGGTGATCAGGTCGGTTACATGTTTTGAACCATTTTTTTTCATGTTTTCAAGATTATTATTTTTCAAGTATTTACCACTTGAAACACTTTTCTCGATGTTGCTTACTAGATTTAGGTTTTTGGGTGGATTTCATGCCATTCTCACTGTAGAATCACCGAAGACATCAGGTTGGCCATCCTCCTTCCTTGTTTTTGATCTATGATTACTTTTTTTTTGTAATATTTTGCTAAAAACTGGATTGTGAGCAAAATATGTGAAAAATATTTTGCAATATTATTTTTCTTTAATCAACATGTTGATTGTGGTTTTATTAATATGATTTTTTTTGTGATACTATGTTCTTTTTTGGATTTTTATTGCACATTGTATATGCTGAAATATGTGAAAAATAATATACTGAAATATGAATAAAAATTAGGCTGAAATATGTAAATAATAATATGTTGAAATATTTGAATAATAATATGCTGAAATATGTGATTACATTTTGGTGTTTCTTGATTATTATTATTATTATTGTTGTTTTTATTATTATCCTATTATCATTTTTTGTTAATATTATCACTATTATTGTTGTTATTTGTCATTATTATCATTATTATTCCTTTTTTCTATTAATGGGACGTGGTGGTCGACGTGGCACTCAATGTGTGGGCCCACATAGATTCCCATGTGTCATGGCATGGTGATGTGGTGAACTTCCTTCAAATGTATAATATAATATTGAAAAGCATTGTTTATATGGGTAATATGGGGGTTAAAATTGTCATTTATACTAAAATAAGTGCTTGTAGGGAAAGTATCTCGCCAAACATCCCCACTAGACCTATTCATGGTTTGGGTAGCCCGACAGCCCGACCCTAGACGGGCTTGGACATATTATTAGGCCTGTGCGCCCGAGCTTGGGCCTAATGATCTAAGCCCGACTTAATTTCGGGCTAGGCTCTGAAATTTACATGATAGCCCGACCCAAGCCGACAATATTAATATATATATATATATATTATTAAAAATATAATAATATTTTATATTTTCTAAATCTAACCCTTTTTTTTGATTGGAAACAGTGACTTTCATTAAGGATATCAAATTACATCTTGCACTGTCAACAACCTGACATCAAGGATTACAGTACAACCCAAAAAAAGTTTTCCCCGAAAGTCCCCTGTTTTGCCAAGCTATCTGCCACAGAATTTGCTGATCTCCTGACCCATTGGAAAGTTACTCCAACTTCGCTTACCAAGCAGATTATTTCCCTTATTTGCTGTCTAAACTTCCATACACCCAAACTCTTTGTTTGCAGCCATCCTATTATCAATTTAGAGTCCCCTTCCACCTCCAAGTTCTGAAATTCCCATTGTTTTGCAAATCTCAGGCCTTGTAGTATAGCCAAAATTTCAGCTCTCATAGAGTCTCCCACTCCTATGGGACCGGAATATAGTGTGCAACCATTTTGTCCTCCCCATCCCTAAAGACTCCCCCAACACCCGAGGGTCCTGGGTTACCCATGGAGCTTCCATCAAAGTTTAATTTGGCCCTTTGTTGTGCTGCAGGTGTCCAAGAAGGCTGAGGGACAGGCTGTTCGGTTGAAGAGTTTGCCACTGCTGACCATCCCCTTTATAAATCATCCACTGAAAAGTCATTAAATAAGTCACTTACTTTCAGCCAATGTATGACTTTAATGGCTACGCAGCCAATAATTTGTTCTGTTGTTCTTTGTGCCCCTTGGAATATTCTGTTATTCCTTTCTTCCCATAAAGACCAAAGAATGGCTGCTCTTGTTGCCCTCCACATCACTCTCCCCCTTTTCTTTGATAGGAGGAAGAAGCTTGGGTTGAAAAGACTTGCCACATCTGGAGGAGAGGTCCACCTGCAGCCAAATAAGGAAGAGAACCAATTCCACACACAAGAAGCAAAGGGACAAGAAAGTAATAGATGCGTAACTGTCTCACCATTTCCCAAACAAAGGCAACAAACATGAGGGGAGAGGCAATGATTTGGCCTTCTTTTTTGTAAATTATCCAGAGTATTAATTTCTGGAGCACCACCTCCCAACAAAAGGCTCTTATTTTTGGGGGTATAGGAATACACCAGACTTCCTTTGTAGGAAAGGAGCCTCCTGGGTGCGGGGAATGAAGGAGGGCAGAGAAGAAAGAGGCACGGGTATAGGAGCCAGAGGTGGACTCTGACTAGATTCTACTATCCTGTCTAGCTGAAGGAAAGACGGTAGCAAATCGTGAATTCCGTTCCAAGGAGAAGCCCTTGTTGCCCTAGGATCAAGGCCAGCGTCCCATTCGTTGTTTGCCATGCCATGGATGCTTACAATGACCTTATGCCATAAGTTGTCTTGTTCCAMGGGAAAYCTCCACAACCATTTACCYAGYAGTGCCAAGTTCCTAAGTTTAATGTTTCCTACCCCTAGGCCTCCACTATCCCTACTCCTTGAAACCACCTCCCATTTTACCAAATGATCCTTTCTTGTATCCCCTGGCTCCCACAAGAAGTCTCTCATCAGTTTCTCCAGTTTATTGGCCACTTTTAAGGGGATCCTAAAGGTTGAGAGGTAATAGATTGACAAATTAGTCAATGTTGACTTTATTAGGGTTATTCTACCCCACATTTCTCTTCCAACCAGCAAGCCTTTTTGTGAATCTTTCCACTACTGGATCCCAGAAGTTGACAAAAGTCGGGTTCCCTCCCAAGGGTAGACCAAGGTACTGTAGAGGCCACTCACCTACTTCACAACACAACAATCTAGCTAAGCTTTCAACCTCTCCTCTCTCTTTAGCCTTGCTACACAACTTTTGCTCCAGTTTACTTTGAGGTTGGAGACCTTTTCAAACAGGGATACCACCCTCTGTAAATTTGTCAAGTCCTCATTTTCTTCTTCACAAAAAATTAGAATATCATTTGCAAATTGTAAATGAGTAATCACCACATTATTTCTTCCAATTCTCCAACCTCGTATCAAATTGTTGGCATCAGCCCTTGAGATCAAATCACTAAACACATATGCTATTAGAGTGAAGAGGAAGGGGGATAGGGGCTCTCCTTGTCAAAGGCCCCTTTTGGCTGGAAAGAAATCTCTGGCAACTCCATTAACCAAGATGGAATAATGACAGGAGGAAATACAACCCCTTATCCATTTGCACAATCTCGCTCCAAAACCTCTCAACCTTAACACTTTTAGAAGGAAATCCCAATCCACCAAATCATAGGCTTTCTTCAGGTCCAATTTGCAAATTAGCCCTTTTTCCTTTCTCCGTTTTTTAAACTCCACACACTCATTTGCAATAAGGATTTGGTCTATGATTTGTCTTCCAAACACAAAAGCTCATTGATTTGGAGAGATTAATGATGAAAAAACTTTTTTAATCCTCTCAGCTAACACCTTGGAGATAATTTTATACATGCTACCCACAAGGCTTATGGGTCTAAAATCTTTTTGGTGGGAGGCATCTAGGGTCTTAGGGATCAAAGTGGTAAAGGTGGCATTTGCCCTTGAGTTGAATTTTTCCCTCTCAAAGAATTCAGCAAAAACTTCCACTAAATCAGCACCCACAATTTCCCAACAATCTTGAAGAAAAGCCATCGTAAAACCATCTAGGCCTGAGGCTTTGGATCTTTCCATAGAGAATATAGCTTCTTTTATTTCTTGGACTTCAAAAGTCTTCTCCAGGGATTCCATCAATACCCTACGACCTCTTCTCCAATCAAAATTTTCTAGGGGCTCTCTGAGACCTCCCTGACTATTAAAAATACCTTTGAAGTGATCCACAAAAGCTTGTGCTATATCCTCCTCCCTAGTTAGGGTTTGTCCATTCCACACTAGCTGAACAATAGAGTTTCATCTTTTTCTCCCATTTGCTACTAAGTGGAAAAAACTTGTATTGCCATCACCTTCCTTTAGCCACCTACATCTAGACTTCTGTCTCCAATTAATCTCCTCTTTCCTCAAAATCTCTTCTAGTTCATGCTTTAGTCTCCACCTCTCAGATTTCTCTTCCTCTCTTATTATCCTTTCCCCTTCCAGCTCATCTAATTCCTCTATTCTATGTGAGATGAGTGTCTTTCTTTCCTCCAAAGATCCAAAAACTTTCTTATTCCACTCTTTGATCCTGCCTTTCAACCTTTGCAGTTTTTTGTTAAATCTAAAACCATTCCATCTAAACTCCACTTGGTCTTCTTCCCACCATTCTTTCACTTTTGACTTGAAATCCGGATGTAGCAGCTACATGTTCTCAAACCTAAAAGGGCAGAGCCCTCCTCCCACTCTTTTTTCAGAGATGCTGATAGGATAGTGATCTGAAGTAGTTCTAGGTAAGGCCCTAACTATTAGACTCCGTCACCCTTCCTCCCAATCTAGAGAAAAGAGAAATTTGTCTATCTTGCAACAAATAGGTATCTCTTGAAAATTAGACCAAGTGAACTTTGCTTGGAGAAGGAGCAGCTCTCTCAGTTCATTTGTATCTACAAACAGATTGAATTTTCTCATGCTGGAGGTAATCCTATGGCTAGGGTTATTTGTTTTCTGAAGGAACCTAATCACATTGAAATCACCCCCCAAACACCATGGGCCCTCCCACAGACCCCTGATTGCTGCCAACTCTTCCCAGAAATCTTCTCTCTCCTTGTAAGAATTCGGCCCATAGACATTGGTTAGAACCCAAACAAAACCATCTGTCTTTTTTTTTTGTCTTGATTGAGACTGAAAAGTTTCTTATCAGTTCTTCCATACATTCAAAATTATTGTTCTTCCATATAGTGATGATTCCTCCAGAAGATCCCCAAGATTGTGAGAAGGCCCAACTAATTCCCCTAGCAGTCCAAATCTGTCTTATCCACCTCCTTTCCACATCCATCAATTTGGACTCTTGAATCAGCACAAAGTCTGGCTTCTCCTTTCTTAACAGCTCTCTTATTGCTCTTCTTTTATTTGCTCTTCCCAAACCTCTTACATTCCAGCTTAAAATCTTCATATAGAAACAAACTAAACTCTGTCCCCCTTTTTATTCACACCCTCTGCTCTACCTTTTCCTATCTTTTCTTCCAACGCTCCCTTTATCATACACTACATTACATTGCAAACTCTCCACCTCAGTTAGCTTCTTTTTCCTTTTCTTGTTTGAGCCTCCTATGTTCTTGCTTCGACCCTTTTGCTCACTCAGCTTTTCCTTTCTGACCCTTTTTCTAACCCTATTTCTCCTATTATTTTTTTGTGATCATTTTTTCCTTGTAGTCAAAGCTTTTAAATCCTTCCTCACCTCTTCTGGCCTAGAAAGAGGACTGTCACCCTCCCCACCCTTTCTCTTCACTTTCTAGTTCATCCTTCACCATGATCCTAAAGATCTCCAAAATCATCTCCTAGATTCTTTCACCTTCTTCCCCATCAACTGTTGGCATCTCATCACTACCCACTACTTCTGTTGAAGCACTAGCAGTGGCAGACTTGGATGTCGGGCTGGTCTCCCCTGTGAGTGACTAGAAGAAAGATTAGTACCCATCAAAACCAAAGGAGACATCATACCTTGTGATTGAGAGGGAGACACACTAGGATTCGGAGAATTCTGGTTTTTGAGACTTAGCCTTTTGCCAGGGGTGACACTCTTTGGATCAATACTTGGATAAGAATTCGGGGGTATGGGGTATGTCGTTGCCTTGCCGAGAGCCAGTGGGAGAGTTCTACTACAGTCAGTCTTGTTCTTGATCTTGTGCATTTTCTGGTTTTCCGTCCCTTTCTGACTGAGTTTCCCCCTCCACCGAAGGACTTGCCTTTTCCACCGACATTGCCTCTACTTCCAATCCATTAAAATGCTCTTCAAATAATAAGGCTAGACTGTTCGCCTCCACCGAGTCCATCAAAGCTTTTGATTTGCTTTCCACACTTTCTGGACTAGGGGAAGCTGTAAAAACTTCATCCTCTGTATTCTCCTCATCGCAGCTGATCCAATCCGTATCAAACACATCGTCCTTTTTCCTTTGCCGATCGTACCTTGGGTTTGGTTTTTCTGGGCTAATAGAGTAGGAAACCAGCCTGGGTTTCCATGTCCATACTCCTCCCTCACTGTTCTGGTCTCGCTGCTTATCCAGTTGGTTTGTCTTGGGTTGGGATGAAGATAGACCGGGAGAAGCGTCTGGTGTCACTCGATTCCTCCCTCCTATCACATGACTTATTAAGAAGTCACATGACGTCCTCAAGTTTGGTCCACCTTTGTTTGCTGGCCCAACTGGATTTGGCCCAGTTACTTTCGGCCTTAAAGCTGGGCTTTTTTTACCTGGCCCCACGTGCCCACGTGACTGTTTCGGCCCATTAGCTTGCAGTCCTGTTTCACCAGCTGCCCCCTTCAAACCACAAAGCCCAGTGTCCAGCTATCTTCAGATTTTGACGCAACCACCTGGGCAAATGATCTGAATTTAGCCGTTGGGGTTTGAACTCCTGAGCCTGATTTGTTGATAAGTAGAGGAAGAAATTTCTCTGTCTTTGTCTTCTCCAGAGTCACAGTTTCCTTACTCGTGATACTTTTCTTTTCATTCTGTCGCTGCCTTTGACTGCACTGACCTGGTAGACTTGCCACGTCATCGTCGTCTTCCTCAGGACGCCCTTCCTTCCACCACTGAGCTTCAAGGACGTAGTAATCCATGCTTTGTATTCCACCGCATCTGTGTAAACTTCCAGAAGACGAGGGATTAACTCAGGTTTTTCTCCTCCTAGTTGGACTACGGCTGCTCTCAAATCATCAGCAACGAAGTCTAGCAGTTCTCCTCCACAAAGTTTTGCAATTTTTGTAAAAACTTCCAAGTTCCAGAGATGAAATGGCAACCCTAGGATTCTCAGTTCAATATCCTTTATTGGCTTGACAATTTTTTCATTAGAACAGGGAGACCACCTCTCTACTATCACCATGCCTTGCTTAGTTATAGCCGACAAGGGTACATCCACCTGCACTTCTTCAGGTAATAATAACACTGCTTTCTTCCCATCGGAGGGTTTTATTACTACCCTGCCTGAGACCTTTAGTAACTGTTTCACTTCTTCCCCTAGGCCAGTCCAATCTCCTACAATTCCTTTTGCTGAAATAACCACCCTGTCTTCTTTGGAGGCGTTTACCCACATTTTAAGCTTTCCCACATGTGCAGCTAGACATACATCTTTTACTTCCTCACCCAGCATTTCATCTTCGCTCCAAATCTCCTTCTCCTTCAACGCTTTTTGTTTCTCTTCTTCATTTGACATTTTTTTCCTTCCCTTTTCTGCCTTTCAAAGCTGTGTTGGAGAACTCCTGAATTGCTTGAATAACCTTATCCCAGCCCGAGGCCTTTCTTCCTTCCGGGAAACAGGTATATTGTTTCAAACCTTCACGAAAATACTCATATATTCCAACGTACCTCCCCTTTTTATTTTCTCTCCTATCTGCAACATATTTTCTTCCTACTTCAGTATGGTAGTTTTTTTGTGCTTTCACCTGTGAAGAGTTCTTTGCATCTTCTAGCACACCCCTGAACCAAAAAACAGCTTTTTCTGGAAGGACGAGGGGAGCTCTTCTTAGTTCAACTATCTTCAGTGCTTGGGCTCCCCTAATCCACACCTCCTCCATCACAAAGGTTTTTGCTTCAACTTTCAACATTTTCCTCCACCTTCTCGCCGGTGAGAACTCCATCTTTTTTCTTTCGTGAAATAGTTTCTTCACATGCTCAGAAGACAACCGTCTTCACCTACCCTAATGGGTCATAAGAAATTTCCCTACAGAAAGTAA